GGGGAAATGATTTCGGGTGCAAGGAGGTAAAGCGTCTCCTTCATGTCTCAAAGAAATCACTGGAAGCAGTGATGCATGTACTACATCTTATACAGCTTTCCCCCCTAAAAAACAATACCGGATACATAAGCAAAATGATTATGGAGTTAAAGCAACTTTCTTCATTCTTAACTGGTGTAGAAATTCATTCTTAGTCTCTGGCTCATACCAACACCGTGCTAGACTATAACTCCCATCACTACTTAGTAAGTGAGCTGTAGTCCCATATAAGCAGGTGCTGGTAGCAGAATGCATACTAACCATTTCTGGAGCCTAGTGGGAGGTGGGGGCATGTCAATATTCCTTCTCCTCAGCTGGATTCATGTCTTAAACACACACACACACACACCAGACATGGAGGAAATTCCTCAAAGATAAATGATGCATTTATTTGGTGGTCAGAATGAATGCTCTTCAGAGATTTGTGTTCCAGCAAAACCCGACACCCAGAAACAAGGACATTTTGAACTGCATTAAGATCACAATACGCTTCTGCTAGTTCAACGGATACGGAGTGCAGCAGGCTGTGTGCTCCTCAGGAAACAAACGGGCATTTCTGCTCCAAGTTCACGGGATGAAAATGCCACTAGATATTCCTGCTGGCAAGAAGACAACCACAGCAAGGGCTCTTCGCAACAGCCACAACGAACTGTAGTGGCACGTGAGTTCCTGGACCGCTCACCTGCTGCTACACATCAGGACTGTTCTCTCACAAAACAAGGCAAGAGTGGGCGGCACACAGAAGGCAAGCGGAAAACACCGAAAACTAGTAGAAGATGCTCCTTCATTGGCCAAGGAGGATCTCATTCTGTAAGCTCCATGTGCTTCTGACTCGTGATTCCTGCCAGCTTGCAAACACACTGGAGGGGGGAAAGGGGCCTTCAGAATACCTCACTCTGACTTCCGTCATTACTGCAACGCCTTATGACCTGTGCACACTCACTAAAACAACCTGGAGGTTAGTGCTTAGACAGCAGGAGCAGAGACACCCTCCTTGGTTCAGCAGCAAAATGAATCACGATCCGTTCTCTTCATTCTACGGCACCTGTTGCACCTCGTGTCCGAAGGACAAGCGCACCAGAATGCCTGATCCAGCCAGTCGCCAGCGAACATTCCTCCAGCTTTCCTCCCTCAGTCCACAGAGGGAATATCATACCGATACTTGGAAATGGTGCAACTGGCCAACCTGCCGTAGACGGTAGGTAGGACGTAATGGTGATACATCTGGAAACCAACCCCCTCGTACATGGCACGGGCCTCATGCTGCACCATGAGGGTGTTGAGCACCACGGACTTGTAACCATGTTCTTTGGCAAAAGAGATGACTGTCCTACACAGGGCCTTAGCAATGCCAAGCCCTCGGAAGTCCTTCCGAACGGACATGCGCTTCAGCATGAGCTCTTCCGGGTGCTCCTCGGAGGGCCTCGCACCCACCGTGGCCACCACGCAGTCCTCCACTTCGGCCACCCAGAAACAAGAGTGTTTGTCGCCCAGATAGGTGGCTTGGATGTCCAGCAGGTCCTCCCGCAAGCAGCGTTCGATGTACATGGACCAGACGTAGCCCAGGACCTGGCGGCCCACGGCCAGAAGCAGGGTGACGGCAAGGATGGGCAGAAGCAGCGATTTGGAGCTCGTGAGCAGCAGGCAGAAGGTACAAGCCAGGACCAGGATCAGCCAGGGTTGCTTGAGCATGTGGACGCACAAGGTGGGCATGTACTCGCTCATCCCTGTGGCAAATAAGTCCCGCACCGTCTCATAGTCATCCGGACGATACTCACGGATGCGGTAAGTCACCATGATGCACCCGCCAGAAGAGATGGGCAAAGAGCAGCAGCAGCGAGCTGGGCAACCGCACGGGGAGAATGCGTGTCGGTGGAGAAAGACTAAAACCGGGGGACAAAGAAACAAAAAAAGGGCATTATCAGAGGAGAAGAAACGGATGCCATCGTGGCATGCCTCTGCCAAACAGAGTTACACAAATGCAGTCCTGGTTATCAAGCAGACAGACTGGAACAGTCTCGGACCAGATAGGCGGGGTATAAATCAAATAAATAAATAAATAACTTAGCTAGTATAGGAAGGAAAAGCTGTTCTATATCCTTCCCACTGTGGGAAGCAGCGGAGCCACGAATTCCGTCTCGTCTTGGCAGCAGTCACACCTTGGTGATCTCGGGGACTCTTCCCATCCTTTCCCCCACTTGGTTTGGGGCATATCCTCCAGAACCGCAGCAGATACGGCAACACCTTAAGCACAGGATAAGACAGCTGGCAGTCCCTTGCCCTCTGCTGCCAACTCTTAAGCACCATTCCATAATTCCTTAGACACTTTCTAATGCTATTTGGAACAAGGAGATGTTCCAACTCCTTGATTAGTTTGGCTGCCCTTTATCTACTTTTTCTGGTTGTACAAAAGGAGCTTTCACAAATTGGTTTTGTTGTGCTACAAGTAGAACTCATGATTTTTCTTTTTCATGGTAGCTACACAATGATTCTATACTGCCACTGCAGGAAAGAGATTTCCCTTGCCCCTGATTAATTACCTCTGGCTACTGCTTATAGTTCAGCTTCCAGTCACTCCTAAACAGACCTCTTCAAATGTCACATGAAGAATAATTCATTGTATCAGGCAAAAACAAAAGAAAAATAAACAAATAAAGGCAGAAACTCTCTCCTAGAACCCAAAAGTCTACAACCAAAAAAGCTAAGGGGTGAACCTACACATACGAAACATGCAATCCGTCTGGGGACCTATTGCTTCTTCACAAAGCTGTTCTCCCCAAATGCAGGGGCTTGCCTAAAAAGTCAGAATCAACCCTCTTTTCCCCCATTATATCCTCCAGAGAGCAGAAGGGGAAGGAACGACAGTCTCTCTGTAATTCGCCGGCTTTCTCCTCCTTTGTCTCACGTTCAGTCCCCTTCCCAAAGGGACTTCCTCTTTCCCAAGACCAGCCCTATGATTAAGGAGAACAAGGAGAGCGAGAGGGTGCCTCAAGCCGGGGATCTGGAGTTTTCATGAAACGGCAAGAAACAATTTGTGATACAAATTCATTACTGCTCTATCTTTGCTGCCAGGAAAGTGGAGAACCACTTATGGGGCTGTTCAGTCTTATATGTCAGCCTAACAGGGCTAGTGTTAGATACAATGCAGCTTTGTAGTTATTTATGAATCCCGTGTGGTATCTGTTGTGGGGGGGGGCAGGAAAGGCTGTGGGAGGAACACTATTTGAGTAAGGTAAATGCCATTGGAAAAGACCCTGATGATGAGAAAATGTGAATGCAAGAGGAGAAGGGGACGACAGAGGATGAGATAGTTGGACAGGGTCATCGAACCTGCCAACATGAATTTGACCCAACTCCGGGAGGCAGTGGAAGACAGGAGGGCTCTGGTCCATGGGGTCACGAAGAGTCCGACATAACTTAACGACTAAACAACAACCGTTAAGATTGCCGGAAGAAATATCAACAACCTCATATAGGCAGATGATACCACTCATGGCCACTGGTCCCATCACCTCCTGGCAAATAGAAGGGGAAGATACAGAGGCAGTGACAGATTTTACTTTCCTGGGCTCCATGATCACTGCAGATGGTGGCAGCAGCCACAAAATTAAAATATGCCTGCTTCTTGGGAGGAAAGCAATGACAAACCTAGAGAGCATCTTAAAAAGCAGAGCCATCACCCTGCCGACAAAGGTCTGCATAGTCAAAGCTATGGTGTTTCCATTAGCGATGTATGGAAGTTAGAGCTGGACCACAAGGAAGGCTGACCGTCGAAGAATTGATGCTTATGAATTAGAATTGATGCTTTTGAATTGTGATGCTGGAGGAGACTCTTGAGAGTCCCCTGGACTGCAAGAACAAACCTCTTCATTTTGCAGGAAATCAAACTTCAGTGCTCACTGGAAGGAGAGATCCTGAAGCTGAGGCTCCAATACTTTCGCCATCTCATGAGAAGAGAAGTCTCCCTGGAAAAGACCCTGATATTGGGAAAGTGTGAAGGCAGGAGGAGAAGGGGATGACAGAGGAGGAGATGGCTGGACAGTGTCTGTGAAGCAACCAACATGAAATTGACCCAAGTCCGGGAGGCAGTGGAAGACAGGAGGGCCTGGCATGTGCTCTGGTCCATGGGGTCACAAAGAGTCGGACACGACTAAATAACAACAAAAAGCCATTGTCATGCTATTTTTAGAGTGCTGGGCTGGACATGGAGATCAAGGTTCAAGTTCCCACCATAGCGTAACACTCCCTGGGTGATCTTGGGCCAACTATTCTCGCTCTTAGCCTAACCTACATCACAGAGTTGTTTTGAGGAGCTTCTGGAGAAGAGGAAAACCATGTACGCCACCTGGAGCTCAGTTAAGGAAAAATACTGTAATAATCTTGTGCTGTCATGTCAATTCCCACTTCTGGTGACCCTTTTCTGGTTTTTTTTTTTCCAGGTAGAGAATATACAGAAGTGGCCTCCCATTCCCTTCTTCTGGAGGGAAATCCCTGGGACTATGGTGCAGCTTCTGCCCAAAGCCACCCTGGCTGGCCCTTCTCCCAGGAGGCACAGATGAGACACCAAACTCCCAGCCTTTAGCTCTGCCAGCAGAAGCTTAATCGAATGAGCTATCTAGCCAGTTATTTATCTGTTCTAAGAGCTGGTTGTAAGTGGGCGGCAGAGGGGTTTTAATGGGAAGCCGCTGAGGGTCCGATGGGGATACTGTGGGTGGACAGGGAATAGGGAGGATTATCTGGATGGGAACAGGCTGGGAGGATGACCAGCAGCAACCAAAGACATCTCAGCAGGATTTTATTGTAAATGCGTGATAAGGAGGACCACCACAAATCCCTTTTTTAAAAAAGGACCACCAGACTCTCAATCGCTTTCACTGCCACCTGCAGGGAACTCTTTCGATGGTTCTTGGAAGACACCTACGGCCCACACCTCGCCCTGGATAACCAGTACTTTGGAGTTTGCAAAGCCTCCTCCCCAAGGCAGAGCAGGCTTTTTCAAACGCCTGTGCTCTGAACGGGAAAAAAAGGAGCTGCTGCCCTACCAGAGACACCTGCTGAAAGTCCTGCCTCCGCACCTCTAGAGGAGACCCGCCCTCCTTGTCCAGGTGAGCCACCTCACCTCAATGGATGGGGTGCTGAGAGGAAGGAAAGGGCCACAGGCTGCCCCACCCCAGGGAGGAAAAGGCCTCCCCAGCTGGCTTGCTTTCCTTCCTTCCTGGGTGGGTGGGGAACAATCCTGACAGGTCTGGGGGGGCCCAGGTGGGTTTGCTTCAAATGCAATTGGTTTACATCACAATTTAAATGTTTAAAAAACGGATTATTTTTTGAAAAATCTGAATCGTGATTCAAATCCATTGGATTTTTTTAAAAAACAAGAAGTCCAAATGATTTTTTTTTAAAAAAAGTGATGTGGATCCACCTTGTCTGGGGGCCCTTTTTGTGTCTCCCACCCCCCACCCCACCCCAGAGACCCTCCCAGGACTGCAGAGAAGGC